TATTTATACGTCTATTTATATATCTCTCTATCTATCTATCTATTTATACGTCTATTTATCTATCTATCTATCTATCAATCTCTCTCTCTATCTTTATCAATCAGTCTATTTGTCTATCCGCCTATCCATCTTACTATCTATATATCTATCTATTTATCTATCTGAGTATCTCTATCTGTCTAAGCTCTAATCTAAAGGAATTTATCTATCTAACTATCTGTCTATCTAACTATCTGTCTATCTAACTATCTGTCTATCTATCTGTCTAACTAACTATCTGTCTAACTATCTAACTATCTGTCTAACTATCTGTCTAACTATCTAACTATCTATCTGTCTCTTTATACTTATATTATTATCCTCTGTAAAGAAAGAACTATTTTTTAAGATTGTTTCAAAGGCCATCGAAAAGAAAGGGCACAAGGAAATGACTTTGCAATTGGCGATTTCTATCTTCTTCTAGAACGTCTGAATGATCCATAGCCGCCTGTGCAATAGAGCATGTATGTTGGCCGTAAGCTCGTACCGAGTTGCAACCTATCAATTAAGTTCCGATTCTCCACCTTCTCGATTCCCAGTACCATATTACAACTACTTTGCAACTTGTCAATTAATTTCCGGTTCCCGACCGACGTGTTGCATCGAATTGCACCCACCATCTAAGGCAGTGGTTCCTAAACTGGGGGGCTTCAGTATTTTCCAAATGGGGCGCGAGTCCTTGGGAAAAAGGCAGTCATTTTTCTAATTATCTTTGTTATTCTCTTAATGAGAATGTGGTCACATAATGGGGAGTTTAATTATAATGCCACTAATTCGCACTCATTAAAGAGACTAACAAAACGTAATTTTCTTTAGAAAACTGTGAGGTAATTTTATTTACGGTTGCAAGGGAGGCTCGGAGGGGGAAGGACAAATTCCAAAAGGGAGGCGTGGTAATTAAAAGGTCAAGATCCACTCTCTTTCCGACCGGCAGCTCATACACGCATTGCAACTACCTCGCAACCTCTCCTTTCCTTTCCCATTCCCCGACCGCAGGATTGCACGGGATTGCACCCACCTTGCAACACAGCCGGCCGATCGAGTCTCCTCGCCGTCTCCCAGCCGTCGGCCATCGTCACGCCCCTCCCCGGGCTGATGAGGTTCCGAGGGTGACCGTAGTGGGCGTCGCTGTACTCCAGACACACGCCCCCGTTCTCGACCGCCGCCAGGTCGATCAGCTGGGCGGGGGAAAGGAGTTACAAGGGTGGGGTGGGGTGGGGGGTGGGGGGGTATACGTTATGAGGGCGGTGGGGGGGGGGGAGGCGTAACACGGGGGGGGAGGAGGAAATGCAAGGAGGGGGGGGGGAGCGCAAAACGGGGGGAAGGAGGAAATACAAGGAGGGGGGGGAGGATGCGTTATAAGGGGGGGTGGGAGATATTATACTGTAAGAGGAGGAGACCTGTTATAAGGGTGGGGGGAGGGGGAGATGCATTACAAGGGCGTGAGAGGGAGAAATACGTGGCAAGGGGAGACGAGAGGCTTTAAAAAAGGGGGTGGGATGGGGTGAGGGAGCGATCTATAAAGGTATAATTTTTTTTTTTTACTCAAAGGAAAACATTGGGGTTTACCTAATCATGGCTATTAATATGGAGCTAATCTTCTCTTAAGTTCAAATATGATGTCATTAAACATATACTTGTAAATAAGCTGAGAATTAACCCATATCTTACTACCTAGCTTTATTTAAGGGAAGGTATTCATCACTAACTCTTCTAAAAGTGCTTTAAAGATAACATGCCAAGCGTTATCTGTGTAAGAGGGACAGATCTTCCAAAGGAAAAAAATTGTGTGTACATATATATATATATATATATATATATATATATATATATATATATATATATATATATATATATATATATATATATATATATACACACACACGCATATACATATATATATATATATATATATATATATATATATATATACATATATATATATATATATATATATATATATAGAGAGAGAGAGAGAGAGAGAGAGAGAGAGAGAGAGAGAGAGAGAGAGAGAGAGAGAGAGAGTTAGAAAGAGAGAGAGAGTTAGAAAGAGAGAGAGAGAGAGAGAGAGAGAGAGAGAGAGAGAGAGAGAGAGAGAGAGAGAGAGAGAGAGAGAGAGAGAGAGAGAGAGAGAGAGATTGTTAAGAAGAGTGAGAAAGGAGTTCCCTGTCGAATGTTTATTACGTATAACTATGTATTATCATTATCTTTTCAAAGAGGAGGATAAATTTCCTTGATAAATTTTCCCGAAGAAAGGATAATAGAAGAGAGATAAAAAGGGGGTAAGAGAGAGAGAGAGAGAAAGAGATAACAACCATAACAAACAAACAGACAAACAAACAAGACGCATCACCCACCCTCAACCCACACACTTCGGAGCCCAAACCTCACCTTCCCCTTTGGCACCCTCGACCAGTCCGGCGTGGCACTCCCGAACACCTTGAGCCTCGCAATGCCTCCGTCGGGGTATATGTTAAGCCGAACGTGTGTCCAGCGCTTCTTGACTGCCGCCTCGATGTATGTGTGGCATGTGTCCATGTATCCTGGTCGAGCCTCCGTCAGCGGGACGATGAACGGCCAATTCTGGTCATTATTACATTGTTATTATTATTGTTGTTATTATTATTATCATCATCATCATCATCACCATTATCATCATCATCCTCATCATCATCATCATTATTATTGCACTTGTTGCAGTCTCTAATATCATTACTATCAATATTATCACCAATATTTTCTTACCATTATTGTTATCATCATTATCATCATCATCATCATTAGTATTATTATCATTATAGATATCATTTTCATTATCATTATCACCATTATCATTACCAATATTATTATCGTTACCATCATTATCATTATTATTATGATCATTATCATTACCAATATTATACTTACTATCATTATCATTATTATCATTATTATTATTATCATCATCAACAACAACAACAGTATTAACATTACTGTTAATGTTACTATTGTCATTATTATATTTGTTGTCATGAACATCAATCTTAACAGAAATAGCACCTTTACTTCGTTTCCAACTTACGGAGATCTAACTTACCTGACTGTCCAGCTGAGACACCTGTTCCATCACGCCTTCGCAAGCCTGAGTTCCAATCTCGCTTTTTCTTGCTGGGATCTTGGCTTCGTCTGAGGGAGGACAGGGGAGTTAAAACACACACACACACACACACACACACACACACACACACACACACGTGCAGTCATATATACAGACGTATACGTACAAGAAGGAAGAATAGGGGAGTTAATGCAGACACACACTCACACACACACACACACACACACACAAACACAAACACAAACACACACACACACACACACACACACACACACACACACACACACACACACACACACACACACACACACACACACACACACACACACACACACTTACAATCAATGTAGGTATACATGTGTTCTATGAGATCTTATGAAAATTACAAAACTGTATTTTTTTTTATTATTATTTCATCTATCACTTAATTGTTCCATTATTTCATCTATCATTTAACTATCCTAGTATTTCATATATCATGAAATTATTCAATTATTCCATCTATCATTTAATTATTCCATTATTTCATCTACTATTTAATTATTCAATTCATCTCTCATTGAATTATTCCATCATTTCATCTATCATTCAATTATTCCATTAATTCATCTATCCTTTTATTTCCCTTCATCATTCTTTTACTCTCATTATCATCGCTTTCCGCCCTTGAAGAACGAGGCACAACCTGACCTTCGGGAGAGAGCACGGCGCCCTGGAGGGACACGCGAGGGACAAAGTTTCCTGTGAAGAATGACGTATCGGCGTCGATTCCTTCAATGATACCCGGTACCCCTGAAAATGAGCGAGTTGGTATTTAGGGATATTTTTTCTACATTTCTTTTTTTTTTAGAATGTTTGTGTTTGTGTTATGTGGTGGTTATTAGGAGAATTTGTAAGATATTTGGGGAAATTGTAAATGCGGGTGAAGAATCAAAGTGAAAATACAAATCTTAAAGAAGGGTTGGGGGGAGAGAAGATCAGAAATTTGCTTAAAAATTTAATCTATTCCTGTTCTTTATCACCTTAATTTCCATTTCACCTCTCTCTTACCAAGCCTGATGATGCACCAATCATGGCCTGGGATTCTTTTTCTGCGAGTCTCCCATCCGTCCATCCATTTCCCACAATCTGTGAACTCGCCTTCCCGCCACTCGGGGTCACTCTCCTATTTCATAGAAAACGGCGATATGAGTTTTAATTTATAGCATGTTATTTGATTGTTAATTAATGCTGATGTGTTAGATATATATGCATTAATAGAAATATAATGGCAATTCTACAGAATACCTTCGCATAACCGATAGTCAAATATATCGATATTATACCGCGGAAACCTTCCCATTAGCGACGATCTTGGCCCCGATAGAAGGGAAGGGCATGGAAGGTACCATGGGAATTGAGGGAGAAAATATGAATGATATATAGTAATGTATATATATGATAATATATATATATATATATATATATATATATATATAATGATAACTCGGAGTCAGTCACTCTACTGCAGGGTAGAGTGTCCGACATTCTCTCTTGCCGTGAATACTTGGAAGATTCTTTGCTTTCCCGGGTGAGGGGTTGAGGGGCAACAACCTCCCATGAGGAAGTTGCAGGGGCATTAAGCAATAGAGTGACTGATTCGGTGTATATCATCCATATTTTACTCCGCAGTTTCATGCCCTCCCCTGCTTTCGGCGCCAAGAATGTGGAGGTTTGGGAGGCATAATATCTAAATATCTGTGTAATAGAGAGTGAGAAGAATACATCGATGTCAGGTACGTAAAATTAACAATATCATAAAAGTGTATTGATATATGCATGCTTCGTATGCATTAATGTAACTTTGCTAGATGTGCATTAATGTATGACACAGGTAGGCATTTGCAGTAATTCATCACCATCATTGTTTTTTTTTCTGTATTTGATATCCCTTTCTTTAGGATTAAAGATTCTCCCAATATCCCCACGGTTGTAATTCTCTGAACGAAAACGGATAATGACAAGGAAGTGCAATGATTTCGAACAAAGTGCCAATATTCAAGACCCATATGTTTCGTGATCTTAGTTGCCGGGGCTTGTTATATAGGACTGTATATGTAGATGCAAGTGTGTATATTTGTTTAAGGAAAATGGCTTACTAAAAAATATTTAATGATAAGAAACCAAAGGCTTTAAGACTTTGTAGGGTACGCAAACTTTCACTTACTAAATTATTAGACCTGACTGATGTGTAGTATCTCTCTCTCTTTCCTTTTCTTTCCCTTTCCCTTTCCCTTTCCCTCTCTCTTTCTCTTTCTCTCTCTCTGTACCTGTCTGTCTGTCTGTGTGTCTCCTATCAATCTTCCTACCTTTCTGTTTCCCTCTACCTCTTCAATTCTCGCTTTCCTGCCTCCCCCTCTACCTTCCTTTCCCCGTCTCTCACTTGTATTATACATACCTTTAAAAGGTTTTCAGCGACAGCAAACCAGTCATCTGTCGCAAAGAGAACACGACCGCCCAGCTGCAAAAGAATATAGTTTTCAAAGTCGATGGAGCATTTGGAAAAAAAAGTAATAATAATAATAGTAACAACAACGACAATAATAAAAATAATAATAATAATAATAATAATAATAATAATAACAATATTGATAATGATAATAATAAGCATAATGAAAGTTTGCGTGTACATATTTTGCAAAAATGGGTTCCCTGTTGCCAAAATGAAGCTTATAGATCAACAAATATGTAACACAGGAGTTGTATAAGTTTGCTGCATTAACTAGATCAGTGTTAGGTGAAAGTATAAGAAGATTCCTTTTAGAAGTTCCTTTAAGAAGAGTGACGTCTTGATGAGGAAGTGGAGGCTCTTCCTGTGGCTGCAGGAAACGTGTGATAGGCAGCACACCAGGTCGTCCTATTACATAATATACCATAGTCAGGGTACATTGGTATTGATGAAAAACATGTAGGAAAATAATGAGCAAAATGTGGTTATGCAATATTGTATGTAGATCATTGTAAATCCTGTTATCAAGACCATTCCGTAAGACAATTAGAAAAAAATCTATCATGTTTTTTTTTCTTGATTTTATTATCCAGTTACCAGCAATTCCTCAAAGTCGTTTTATTATAGACTGCTGTAGCCCACTCCCAAAAACAACCAGGGAATAAATCTTCACTACCATTTGCTTCTTCCCGAGTTTCATTAGTGTCAACAGAATTATTAAATAAATAAACTTCCTAAATTCTTTCGCATAATAGCTTACCCAGGGTGATTTAATCAGAACAAAACATCAACTTCCACTCTATGGTGTTTCTGCCATCCATGCGACAAATGGATAGACAATAGCGTGTGTCATCCGTATATCAGTCAGCCACCAGCAGGAACATAAGGCAGAGTGCACCAAACTTTAAAACACAAATTGAGGATTTACTGCCATGAGACGGATGAACAACGGGGATAAAACGGCCCCACTGTTGTTATTCGGGTGTATATCAGGTTTCGTATTTTAACCTGTGTTTGGATATTTAGGTAAGAAGTCCCGACCCCCGAGATGCTGAAAGAGGGTTCGTGATAATTTTGATGCACTGAGCCGCTTAGCGTACTCTCGGATTGAAACTGAGCTGGTAAGAGCAGATCTCGGTGAGACCCAGAGAGACGGATGACAACATGATACGATAGAAATGCTTAGTCATGATTGTTTGTTTTTTCATCAGGAGAAAAAATGTCGTTCTTCCACCTGTCCTCCATAAGACGTCACTAAAGGCTAGCTAGTCCGGACTTTGTATCGTGTGACCTTAAGTGACTTAATTACTTACTACTCGTAAACAGTCAAGGCACGTTATGTCAATCAGATAAAAAATGCACACACACACACACACACACACACACACACACACACATATGTGTGTGTGTGTGTGTGTGTGTGTGTGTGTGTGTGTGTGCGTGTGTGTGTGTGTGCGTGCGTGTGTGTGTGTGTGTGTGTGTGTTTGTGTGTGTGTGTGTGTGTGTGTGTGTGTGTGTGTGTGTGTGTGTGTGTGTGTGTGTGTGTGTGTGTGTGTGTGTGTGTGTGTGTGTGTGTAAGATATATATATATATATTTATATATATATATATATATATATATATATATATATATACATACATATGTAAATATATGTCTATATATATATATATATATATATATATATATATATACATATACATATATATACATATATATACATATATATATATATATATATATATATATATATATATATATATATATATATATATATATTTATTTATATATGTATATAAATATACATACATACATATGTAAATATATATGTCTATATATATATATATATATATATATATATATATATATATATATATATATATATATATATATATATATATATATATATGTATATATATATATTTATATATATATGTCTATATATGTATATATATATATATATATATATATATATATATATATATATATATATATATATATATATATATATATTACATCAACAATAACACGATACCGAATAACATTATGAGAGTACACACATATGCGCCCAAGCTTATCTTCCACAAGCTGCGATACTGTGATAATGAAATCCATCCCCACATAATAATCAAATAAAATCCAATACAACATCAAAATACCTAATACACTGTAATTACCTTCTCGGAAATGAGGTTATTCAATTCCGCAAATTTCGGCTTCTTCTCCCTCGTGCCAGAAGCATCCTGTCGCTGTGCCATCGTGCGCCGCTGCTGCCGTGTCTCTGCCAGAAACCTTGAAGCGAAACCTGTTATATTGGTGAGCGAATCATTGTGGAATAACTATGGCGCTTGGGCGATTTCGTTACTTTTTTTTCTCTTCTTTTAGTTATAGGTTCGTTATCTTTAGGGGGTTATTGTTATATATGTATTTTCTTTTCTTCGTGGTGTAAATGGTTTATTATGTCTGTGGTTATGTTTTGTCTTTGTTGAGTTTTGTCTAGTTTGTTTCGTGTATAAAGGAAGTGTTTCGGATATGCAGGCGCAGATTCCACCTGTGTATGTAACCTATTCACTCATTTTCACATGTCTGATTAAAAACATTACGTAAAACCTATATGCACTTAAAACAAATTAGATAAAACCACTAAATAAAATAACGCTAAGAACGATAACGATATTATATACCTCATCCCTAATACCAACTCGGCCTAAAAACAGACGAAAATCAGATTCTTCTATTTAGGGGCTTGTTTACGGATGGGCAGTAGGTGGGTAGTACTCGCAAAATGCTAAAAGTAGGCCTAACTATTCAGAGATGTGACTGTGGGCGTGGTGGAGAGACTGTGTGTGGCTATGAGGAAGTGACTGTATGTTAAATGTATATGTGATGGAGAGACTGTGGGTTAGAAACGTGTGTGTAGTGGAGAGACTGTGGGTTAGAAACGTGTGTAGTGGAGAGACTGTGGGTTAGAAACGTGTGTGTAGTGGAGAGACTGTGGGTTAGAAACGTGTGTGTAGTGGAGAGACTTTGGGTTAGAAACGTGTGTGTAGTGGAGAGACTGTGGGTTAGAAACGTGTGTGTAGTGGAGAGACTGTGGGTTAGAAACGTGTGTGTAGTGGAGAGACTGTGGGTTAGAAACGTGTGTGTAGTGGAGAGACTGTGGGTTAGAAACGTGTGTGTAGTGGAGAGACTGTGGGTTAGAAACGTGTGTGTAGTGGAGAGACTGTGGGTTAGAAACGTGTGTGTAGTGGAGAGACTGTGGGTTAGAAACGTGTGTGTAGTGGAGAGACTGTGGGTTAGAAACGTGTGTGTAGTGGAGAGACTGTGGGTTAGAAACGTGTGTGTAGTGGAGAGACTGTGGGTTAGAAACGTGTGTGTAGTGGAGAGACTGCGGGATAGAAGTTTGTGTGATAGAGGGACTGTGTGATAACAGTGCGTGTGATGGAAGGACTGTGTGTTAGCAGTGTGTGTGACGGAGAGACCGTGGGTTAGAAACGTGTGTGATGGAGGGACTGTAGGTTAAAAAAATGTGATGGAGAGGCTGTGGCTTATAAGTGTGTGTGATGAAGAGACTGTGGCTAGAGAGACTATAAGTGATGGAGAGGACTATATGCATGTGTGATAAAGAAACCGAGGGTTAGATATAGGAGACATAAGAATAACAGTACGCATGGAAGTATATTTGACATCTCCCACAGTCACCAGTATGTTACGTGCGATGCGATCACATAAAACTCTATTTACTCGCTTCATTCAGCTAGTTTCCCATTTACATCCCCCATCTTGAGAAGCATTTAAGGTATTACAGATCCTTATACTTCCTCTGCTTCCATGAATTATTATTTTTATCTTGTTTTTGTTTTTGTTTTATTTGTCTGTTTATCTGTTTATTATCTATCTATCTATATAACAATATGTATGATTATTTGTCCATCTGTAAGTATCTATTTATATACCGTTCTATCTATCTGTTTATTTTTCTGTCTTTAAGCATCTTTCTGTGTCTTTCATGACAAATGTTAAAATGTAATGAATGAAAATAAATAACTCCACAACGCGAGATATGTAAAAAGCGTTTTTTGTTAAATCTTCCTCAAAATTACCTATCCTCAGGAATTGCAAACGGGTAATTATCATCACAATAAAGGCAAAGGTTGCATCGTAATATCAGGTCACGTGATTCTCAGTTCAGAGGTAATTTTCTATAATAGCGTCGCGTAACCGATCGCGATGATTTTGGATATGTTCCGCGGACACCCCCCCCCCCTTCCCCCTAAACTCCCACAATCTTGGTCCCGATAGCAAGGGAGGGCATGAAAGGTACCAGGAAATTTGTGCGGTAATCTAACTATAATATAATAACATAATGATGATACCTCACTATACTATTCACTGCAGGCCACTGTAGGAGGCTGTACCCCCGGCGAGCCCCCCTAACCCCGCCCAGGAAAGCAAAGAATCCTCCACGACCTATATCCTGGGCACAAACGACAATATGTAATCTAGGAACTATGAAGTAATGTGTCTCTCCCGTGGCGGTAACAGACCTTGAATATCGCGTCACGGCTCGCGGCGATCTCGACTCGCTCGGCCATCGCGGCGGGCATGGATGGGCATCATTCCTGTCCTTGACTACGTAGTTCGTAGTTTCCGGAGGAGGGAAACTCGATCTCGCGGCTCCATTTTTACTCAAGAGATGGCGACACAGACAGTACAGGATCTATATGGTATGATTAATGCCGTGTAGTATCAACTGATACTACCATGCGTCGTCTTGATGTATGTATATCATTCCCTCCTTCATCCTATATCCCCGCCACGCCCCAGGCTGTCGGCGTCCACCCAGAGGAAAGTGGGCGACCGCTGTTCATCTGGAATACCCTACATTCTACTCAGTATACAATGCTGGCTATGTCACAAGGTAGTATGTTGCTTCTCTGGGTATATTCCAATGCCCTTGTGATTCTCTCATGCTCTTTCCTGCCGCAATCCTGCATTATACATTTCAGTGATAGTAATTGTGCTATGACTACAGTTGCGTATTTATTGTCTTTATATCTTACACCGCAATTTCCCTCGTACTTTTCATGCCCTCTCCTGCCGTCGGGGCCAAGATTGTCGCTAATGGGGAGGGGGGGGGGTCCACGGCATAGTCTCTATATACTTGCATGGTAGAGAGCGAGAGGAATAGACGTAACTAGAATTGTCGCGATAGGATAGACGGCGCTATTCCATAAATATACCACTGGTAAAAATGGCAGCGCTTATGTAATCAGTTTGAACACATTTGACTTCGTTTGTTGAGGAACAAGAACTCTACAGGTGCGAATAGATGAATCAGTGAAGATGTTAATAGCAGCCGTAGTCATGAGAAGTGTAACAGTAAGAAGGCAATAAAACATTACGTAACTATCGTGTTGTTTCCTGTTTCCAAAAGCTCGCCTAGCAACAATAGACTCAAATCAGTGAAACATATCGGTCAGGTATGGTTTAAAAGCTGACGATGACCTTTTTTCGCATTAAATTCAGTGACATTCGACCAACACCAAATTACTATGGACGTACCGCGCTAGAGTAGTGAGCGAAAACATGTTTAGGAGTTATTATTATTATTATTATTATTATTATTATTATTATTATTATTATTATTATTATTATTATTATTATTATTATTATTATTATTATTATTATTATTATTATTATTATTATTATTATTATTATTATTATTATTATTATTATTATTATTATTATTATTATTATTATTATTATTATTATTATTATTATTATTATTATTATTATTATTATTATTATTATTATTATTATTATTATTATTATTATTATTATTATTATTATTATTATTATTATTATTATTATTATTATTATTATTATTATTATTATTATTATTATTATTATTATTATTATTATTATTATTATTATTATTATTATTATTATTATTATTATTATTATTATTATTATTATTATTATTATTATTATTATTATTATTATTATTATTATTATTATTATTATTATTATTATTATTATTATTATTATTATTATTATTATTATTATTATTATTATTATTATTATTATTATTATTATTATTATTATTATTATTATTATTATTATTATTATTATTATTATTATTATTATTATTATTATTATTATTATTATTATTATTATTATTATTATTATTATTATTATTATTATTATTATTATTATTATTATTATTATTATTATTATTATTATTATTATTATTATTATTATTATTATTATTATTATTATTATTATTATTATTATTATTATTATTATTATTATTATTATTATTATTATTATTATTATTATTATTATTATTATTATTATTATTATTATTATTATTATTATTATTATTATTATTATTATTATTATTATTATTATTATTATTATTATTATTATTATTATTATTATTATTATTATTATTATTATTATTATTATTATTATTATTATTATTATTATTATTATTATTATTATTATTATTATTATTATTATTATTATTATTATTATTATTATTATTATTATTATTATTATTATTATTATTATTATTATTATTATTATTATTATTATTATTATTATTATTATTATTATTATTATTATTATTATTATTATTATTATTATTATTATTATTATTATTATTATTATTATTATTATTATTATTATTATTATTATTATTATTATTATTATTATTATTATTATTATTATTATTATTATTATTATTATTATTATTATTATTATTATTATTATTATTATTATTATTATTATTATTATTATTATTATTATTATTATTATTATTATTATTATTATTATTATTATTATTATTATTATTATTATTATTATTATTATTATTATTATTATTATTATTATTATTATTATTATTATTATTATTATTATTATTATTATTATTATTATTATTATTATTATTATTATTATTATTATTATTATTATTATTATTATTATTATTATTATTATTATTATTATTATTATTATTATTATTATTATTATTATTATTATTATTATTATTATTATTATTATTATTATTATTATTATTATTATTATTATTATTATTATTATTATTATTATTATTATTATTATTATTATTATTATTATTATTATTATTATTATTATTATTATTATTATTATTATTATTATTATTATTATTATTATTATTATTATTATTATTATTATTATTATTATTATTATTATTATTATTATTATTATTATTATTATTATTATTATTATTATTATTATTATTATTAT